AGAAATCTGAGCACATCACACATCTCGAGCAATGTTTCAAAATTTTAAACGAGTTCAGAATGAAATTAAATCCAGCTAAATGTTCCTTTGGCGTGCCTTCCGGAGAATTCCTGGGGTACATAGTCACGGAAAGAGGAATAGGAGCAAATCCTAATCAAATTAACGCTTTCCTTACTATGCCTTCGCCAAGAAACATAAAGGAGGTCCAACGATTGACAGGCAAAATTGCTGCATTAAATCGTTTCATATCGAAGTCTACCGATAAATGTCTCTCCTTTTATCAAATTTTGAAAAGGAACAAAAAATTTCGGTGGGATGATCAATGCGAAGCAGCATTTGGTCAACTCAAAACTTATCTGACAACACCGCCGATTCTCTCAAAACCTGAATTAGATGAGAACTTTATCTCTACATTTCAGTTTCTAACCATTCCGTAAGTGGGGTTTTAGTTCGAGAGGACCGAGGTGAGCAAAAGCCAATTTTCTACATAAGTAAATCTCTTACTAGTCCAGAAACGAGATATACCATGATGGAGAAATTAGCTTTAGCAGTGGTCATATCTGCTAGAAAACTCAGACCTTATTTCCAATCTCATCCTATAGAAGTACTAACTTCCCATCCTCTTCGTTCAATTCTTCACGGGCCAAGTCAGTCCGGTAGGTTAGCAAAATGGGTAATCGAACTCAGTGAGTACGATATAGAATACAAAAGTCGAACTAGCGCAAAAGCACAAGTTCTGGCTGATTTTCTAACCGAACTGCTATTAGATGATGGAATCTTTGTTGAAACGTACTCTACATGGAAATTACATGTAGATGGATCTTCTTCTAAACAAGGATCCGGAATCGGCATTACGCTCGAAACTCCGACAAAGGAAATAATTGAGCAATCATTTCGGTTAATGTTTCCAGCTTCGAACAATGAAGCAGAATACGAAGCTCTTTTAGCAGGTTGTCAGCTAGTTGTTAACCAGTTCGCTGGAGATTACGAAGCTAAGGCTCCTCGAATGGAAGATTATCTTTCGGCTGTCAAAAAATTAGCCGGAAAATTCAAAGAATTTGAATTAGTTCGAATACCTAGAGGAGAAAACACTTCGGCAGACGCTTTAGCTGCCCTAGCTTCTACCTCAGATCCTGAACTCAAACGAGTTATCTCAGTTGAATGTATTTCTTCGCGAAGTATTTCGGTTGAAGAAACAGAAAACGATAACATTTCGGAGGCCGAATACATTGAAAGTCCAAAACAAAGTTCCGGAAATAGTTCACTTGTCATCACCAGATCACGGATAAAGTCTCAAGATGACGAACTTACTCCACCATTGGAACTTCCTAAAAGAAAGTCAAAAAGAAAGTTAAAGGATCAAGAGGTTCCCATTAAAGAACCATCTCGAACCGAACAGTCACTTCCAGGTGATGTAGAGGTTCAGGAGACAATCGAAGATCCTGATATTCCTTCCGAACCCGAACCGAGGAAGTTTATACTCAAGGATAATACTTCCGCTATTGATTGGGGGGCTGACTGGAGGGTATCCATCAAAAATTTCATTCTTAATGGAGAACTACCATCTAACAAATGGCAAGCTCACAAATTAAAAATCATCAGCGCTAAGTATTGTATAATTAAAGAGTCATTGTACAAGCGAGACGTCAGTGATCCTTATCTTTTATGTATTTTCGGACCCGAAGTTGAAATAGTGACAAGCGAGGTCCACGAAGGGCTTTGTGGTAGTCATTCTTCGGGACGAGCAATGGCTTTCAAAATCAAACGGTTAGGATATTTCTGGCCAACTATGATTTCAGACTGCATTGATTACGGTAAACGGTGTAAAAAGTGTCAGATGCACGCTTCTCTTATTCACCAGCCATCTGAAATTCTATCACATATATCCGCTCCATACCCTTTCATGAGGTGGTCAATGGATATAATCGGTCCGATGCATCGTTCAACACGAGGCGTCCAATATTTATTAGTTCTAACGGACTATTTTTCCAGATGGATTGAAGCTGTAGCTTATATAAGCATACAAGATTCCGTAGTAAAGACATTCTTGTGGAAACACATTATTTGTCGCTATGGAATTCCTTACGAAATAGTAACGGACAATGGTCCTCAATTCATTTCAAATGATTTTAAAGATTTTTGTGCCGCTTGGGGAATAAAACTTAGCTACTCAACGCCGAGGTATCCTCAAGGGAATGGACAAGCGGAAGCCTCCAATAAAACCATTCTCAGCAATCTTAAAAAACGCCATAGTGCTCGAAAAGGTGGATGGTATGACGAGCTGCAACCTGTGTTGTGGGTTTATCGAACAACCCCAAGGCGAGCAACGGGTGAAACTCCATTCTCATTAGTTTATGGGATGGAAGCCGTAGTCCCAGCCGAGCTGAATGTTCCAAGTTTGCGTCGAAGCAAAGCTCCACTTAACGAAGAATCGAATTCTAAATTATTAGAAAATGTTCTCGATACAATCGATGAAAGGCGAGACCAATCCCTTATTCGACTTTAGAATTATCAACAGTTGACCGCTCGCTACTATAACTCAAAGTTGAAAAACAGACCTTTAAATGTAGGAGACTTTGTTTTAAGGCGAGTGTTCGCTAACACAAAAGAAGAAGGAGCTGGAAAACTCGGTATTAACTGGGAAGGCCCTTATCAAATCACTGAAAAAATCCAAAACGGTGTATACCGTATACAAGACCTTGGTGGAAATCCCGTTCAAAGGCCTTGGAACATAATCAACTTGAAAAAGTTCTATTGCTAAAGCAAACACATTCGAACTACGATTTGGCTTGATCCTATTCTGGGTACGTAGGCAGCTCGCTAGTCACGAGTCCAGCTATAACATAAAAATAAAAATATTATTCCAGTCATGGAATCCTGTTTTAATAAATTCGATATTCGAGCATGAATATAAAGATACGTTGCGAACAATGTATAAATAAATATTTCTTGCTAAGCTAAGACCGGATCTAGAAGGGTCTTGAATTACGGAACAACTCCGCTCCTTGACCAGCGAAGTCAACGATGCTCATAATGCAACCTGGCATGTTTCAGTACTCTTGAAGTCCCAGTTCGATCCAATCGGAAGGATAGGCTTCGAGGCGATGAAGCTCGCGAGAAATATCGAGGCGACATTTCTCTAGCTCCATTATCCGTTTCCTAATCTTTTTCTTCTCATATTCGAGCTCGTCATGCCGAGTGATAAGCTGAAGAAACGCTACGTTTAGCAATAACAATAAGAAGTTAATCACTAGGATGGAAAATACCTTATTGATAAACTCCTCAGCCTTAACACGATCTTGAGGCGACAATCTCTCGATTAAAACGATCGGAACCTGAATGCTAGTTCCCTTCTTCAATATTTGTGAATCTTTTGGTTTGCCAGACTCTCCTGCTTTTATAAGCTCGATGTCCGACGTCCACGAAGGATCAACACTCATCACTTTGAACAAGTCTGAAGGATTCTCTGATGAATTACCTCCCTTGAACATTTTTGTAGAATTGTTGTTGAAATTCAATGACAGACTACACCCACTTTATACTCGAAAATTTATTCGATTGCATTTAAGAGGATTAATTGACGATTTCCCAAATCTGAAATTACGATTTTCATGGAAAATGTAATAGAGTTAATTGCTAATTATATTCCCTAGATTAAACGCATTAAATGAGATTTGAATAAATCTGCGAATTTAGAGCGAAATGGGAAATGTAATTAATGTTGCTGGGTTTCAAGACCAGTGACATTTTACAAACATAAATAGGAAAGTGTTCGATCAAAAGTCTTCGCCCGATAATGACTCCAGCGAGGTGGAAGATCCCGAACAGCTTTCCGAGGATAGCCCCTCATCAGAAGATAAATCAAAAGGGCCGGAGAAGTCATCAACAATTTTTGTCTCCGGTTCCTCTTTTTCTTCAGTTCTTAACATCGGAAGTCTCTGGAACTCTGAGGAACATGAAACAAAAGAGGACCCATCACTGGTCGCCAAGGATAAACGATGAAATTTATCCAGCATGCGGAGGAATCTTCGGAGGCAAGTAGGCATTATGGCCACGATGAAAGAAAGGTCCCATTCGTGCGGTTCAGATTCCAAGCGAAGGATCTCTCTTTCCATCCTATTTATGCGCTCATCAAAAGCACGGCGCCTCCTTCTGATTCTTTGTCTCTTATCACATAAAGCTTTGTGTCTCCCGACGATCTGTTTGAACGAACATTTTGTCAAATGACCAAAAGAAAGGAAGTTATAGTTTTCTGAGAAGACTAAGAGTTAGAAAAGGAACATTTTCCAGAAAGTCATAACATTTGACCCTTTTCTTCCCTGTTCGGAAATGAAAAAACGTTGGGTGAATAACTCCCTTTGGAGAGAATCCGTCTTCGGACTCAAACAATGGGTTCCCACTTGAAGTTGTTATTCTTTAGCTTGATCTGAAAAAAAGACAGCGGCATTTTTCAAGTTTTTTTTTCTTATAATGAACTATGGTGATCTTTCAGAATTCCTTTTAAAAGAGAAAGAGGTTTAGATTTCTAAAAATAATTATATATTGTTGGCCTGTTGGAACAGGCTTCAGATCCAATTAAAACGCGGCTCAGCGATTCCGAAGCCATCATGTGCAACGATCGAAATCATTGCCTGGTCGTATTTATGACAAAATTCTCATGAATTATAAATCTTATCCCTCGATATAAAAAGAAAACTTAAGCCGAGCTCCATCCTCACCTTCGAGAGACCGAGGAAAAATACTTATTAAGATTTTTTCTTTAAAAAAGGCAAGTGAGCCTGATCAGCTCATCTCTCACAATTCATAAAACCTCTTTGGCGGGCTAGGACTTGCAAACCTAGAATCGTGTCCAAACGTTTTTGCTATAAAAAAAAAATCATATGCCAGAGCATGTACATGGTTGTGTTCGGTTACACTAATTGAACAAAATATTTCCGTTAAACGGAATAATCCTCATGGACTCAACAAAACAATTCTTTAAAAAAAAAAAAAGAGCGTTCCTACACCTCTGGAGAACCCTCATGTGGACGAGAACCTTCACCTACCTCGAATTGAGATGGGGAATCTCCAAATACCAAAGAAAATTGTTTCAGATTGAGAGTAGGATGGGAAGCCGAGGATAACTCGGACTCAACCATAGCGAGTTCGGCAGCAACTTCGCTCCTCTCGTTCTCGAACGAAACTCTCCCAGCCTCTAGTTCCTTAATCAGGTCTATATTGCTCTTCAGTTCGGCTCGATCTGTTAGAAGTTTAGTCTAGACTTCTTCGTCCTTGATGAACTTCGTAACAGATTGAATAAGTTGCCTACCGAATCCCCTCATCTCTTCTCGAGCATTATGTTCGGCTTCAGCGATATCGCGAGCCCTGTTCCTAGTTAAAAGCTTGATCTCTTGATTTGCTTCTTCGAACAAAGCCGTATTCTCCTCTAGCTTAGCCTCCAAGCGAAGAGCATTAGACCTCGCATAATCTCTTTCAGCATTCACAATTCTGATGCGTTGCTCGTTAGCTGCTAGAGTTTTCTTCATATTTTCAAAAGATGACTCGAGTGCTTTTTCCCGCTCAAGTCGCTCGGATTGGTTGGCTAATCTGAGATCATCAACCTCGTTCTTAGCCTTTGCGGTCTCTCTCTTCGCTTGATGAAGAAGGTTCTCATAATGGAGATCATTCCATTAGTCTCCATAAACGCCTTCGGAGTAAAAAA